GGTTGCGGGCACATCCCCAGTAGGAGATGTGCAGGAGGCAGCTGATCGATGTTTCTCTCTCATCAATGTTTCTGACTCTCTATCCCTCTCCCTTCCTCTCTGTAAAAAATCAATAAAATATATTTTTTTAAAAAATAGTTAAAAAAAGAAATAATAATAGTATGTCTACCTGTAAGCCTGCTCAATAAGTGGTAGCTATTAGAATTATCATTAGTAGAGCACCTAGCACAAACACAATGAACTTATTGATTAACTGATTAATGGTGATATGAATATGAATTTGAGAACTAAGTTTCAAATTCTCAAGCAGGTGGAACCTAAGTAATCATCCAAGTTATGGTAAAAATAGGCAAGTTTAGAGAGATTATTTCCTGCCCAGGAGAGAGATGGCAAATTCTAATGCATTGCCTACAGTCGTGTTCCCCTCTGGTACCAGCAGAACCTAAAATAAGTGTAGCAAGAGGAGGTCTGCCTACTTCAGAGGGTTGTGATAAATAAGGATTCATTCAGTTAGGAGTTAGTTGGTAGACCACCTCGTACAGAGGCAGGCAAACTATGGGCTGCGGAAGTGCTTGTTACAGAAGATCAAGTATGAAGAACAGACTGGTGTCTCTCTATATCAGTGGTTCTCAACCTTCTGGCCCTTTAAATACAGTTCCTCGTGTTGTGACCCAACCATAAAATTATTTTTGTTGCTACTTCATAACTGTAGTGTTGCTACTGTTATGAATCGTAATGTAAATATCTGATATGCAGGATGGTCTTAGGCGACCCCTGTGAAAGGGTCGTTCCACCGCCAAAGGGGTCACGACCCACAGGTTGAGAACCACTGCTTACCTAGCACAGGGCTGTTGGGATTAGATGCCGCCTGGCTCCCGAGGGGGGGGCTGCTGATGCTGGTGCGCCTGGCTGTGTTCTGAATGACCTGTTAGCCCCTCTGCTTGTTCCCTGGAGGGATTTCCTGGTGGAGTCGCACAGAGCCCACCACCATCTAGGCATGCTCCGCCATCTGGGAAGCAGACATGTTCCCAAGGCCCGGAGACCGGCGGGGTATGAGTGTTAACACCTGACATCAGTTCTGCCCTCTGACCTGTAACAACACCCCTCTCTTCCAAAAGAAACTGGATAAGATGTGGTTTCCCAGCCCGGATCCGTCATTACTTTTCATCACTTTCTTCTGCTCTTAGTACAAAGAAAGCAGATTTGGGACAAAGAGTGTGTTTTATTTTTCCCTTTCCCACCACATCCAATTATAAACCCCTGAGCTCTCTACAATTTGACTTGTCCTCTGCAGTTTCTCCACAGTTCAGTGTGCATTCTAGTTGAACCCAATAGAAATCTGCTCCTCCGTAATCTGATTCGGATCTTCCCTGTGCTTTCTTACATGCTCACATGCACGAAAGCTGTAGCTGAATGTCTCTTTGTGACCCTTATCACACACGGTGGCAGCCAGGCAGGAAACTGGAGAAAAACGGTGTGGGCCTCACCCATAAATCTTAGCTCCCTGGTGGAGAGGAAAAGGAGCTTTTAAGGCAGCATGTGCCTCACCTCTTTGGTGTGGGTTTTCTTCCATTCCCATCCATCAGTGATAGCTGGTAATTAGATTCATCAGCTATGTATATAGTATGATATACTGACTCCCTTGCTGATAGTTAAAAATACAAAGCATTGTCCATTACTTGTTATTTTAGGCGGAGCGTGCTTAGCTCAGGTATAGAGAAAGGCATGCTTTGCTTTCCTCCATCTGCTGCAGACAAAACAAAGGGCAGCCGAGGGAGCATTCGAGCTTTGTCTTCCTGAGCCGTGTGGCCTCAGGATGGAGATGCTAAACATGGGGACCACAAACAGTGCTTCCCTTGTTGAGGAAAAGATGTGAGCTTGCCTCCGCTCCATTTTGTTTATTTATGGATCCAGGACGGGTTTGTTTAGCAACAAAAGATTATTCAGGCTGTTTTGTTTGGTTCTGTTTTTCAGATCAATGTTAATGACAGCCTGTGACCTTGGAGCCGTGACCAAACCGTGGGAGATCTCGAGACAGGCAAGTGGTGATTAATGGCAGGGCTCAGCAGAGGAGGGACTGGGGGGGACAATATTCCCAGAGCCCTGACTACCAGGCACTGAAACCCCAGTCAATTTGCATCGGTATTAACATGGTGCAAAAAATAGCAGGAGGCTTAGGCTCCACATAGTTTATTGCCCAGCCTTCCTTTATTGTGCTCCCGCTGACTAATAATATTTCTGACTCTGGATCATTTTTTTAACGCACTAAATCCAAATAACACTTTGACCATTTCTTAAGGCATGAGTTTCAAAAATAGTGTTTTTGAATAGGTAATTATGTTTTAGCATAAGGTTCCGTTTTTCACATCTGAAAAAAAAATCAAAGGAGGTAAATAAAAAATTCTATTTTTCTTTTTAAATACTACTTCAAGATCAGAGGGCTCTTTGGCCATAGTGTGCAGTATCCAAATTAATTTGTATCCCAAAAATCATACCTTTACTATCTTGTTACACTGCCAAAAAAAAATGTTAGTTCTAAAACAAGAATAGCTTTCAAGCTATAATCATACAATTTAAAATCCTTGATTATTAATAGTATTTGAGGTTAATATCTCTTTAAGTTTTAGGAGGCACATACTATATGAACTATGAGGTCTAAACTAGTGACTTGGTGTCTTAAGACTTCATATTTTAGGGAAATATGATACATTCATATAACAATGCATAACTAATATTTATTGATTGAATAAGTAAATAATGAATATTAAATGATGGCTGTATACATACTAGAGGCCCGATGAATGAAATTCATGCACAGGAGGGGGGATGGGTCCCTCAGCCCGGCCTGCATCCTCTCCAATACAGGACCCCTGATCCCGCAGGATGTCCGACTGCCGGTTTAGGCCTGATCCCTGTGGGTCTCTCGCAATCTGGGACCACTGGCTCCTAATCACTCATCTGCCTGCCTGCCTGATCGCCCCTAGCCGCCTCTGCCTCAGCCCCCACCACCGTGGCTTTGCCTGGAAGGGCGTCCGGAAGGATGTCCAGAAGACATCTGGTCTAATTAGCATATTACTCTTTTATTAGTATAGATATGTGAGATCTCATTTAAATCCTCAAAACCCACTTTGAGGTAGGTGTGGTTACTGTAGTAGGCTGAATAATGGCAACCCAAAGATCTCAGGTCCCAGTCCCTGGAACCTGTAAACTTTACCTTAAATAAAAAGGAGTCTTTGCAGATGTGGTTAAGGACCATCAATATCATTATCATTATCATCATCATTATCCTGGATTTTCCAGGTGTCTATACCCCATCACCTGTGGCATTATAGGAGACAGGCACGGGGAGATTACACAATTAGAGGAGGAGAAGGCAATGTGAAGACAAGACAGAGATTGGAGTGAGGCAGCCACAAACAAAGGGATGCTGGCAGTGAAAGAGGCAAAGAATAGATTCTGCCCTACAGCCTCCCGAGGGAGGGTGGCCCTGCCGACACCTTGATTTCTGTTCAGTGAACTGATGTTGGACCCCTGGCCTCCAGAACCCTAAGAGAAGAAATTTCTGTTGTTTTAAGCCACCAAGTGTGTGATAATTTATGGCAGCCCCAAGAAACTAATCCAGTAATTATCCCTATTTCACAAATGGGAAAAATGAGGCTTAGCAAATGGTGGAGCTAGATATTAAAATCTTAGCACATTAGGCTCCCAAGCCTTCATTCTTCCCAGCAGTTTATGCTTTCTTTTACAGGATGTCTCAATCAGCAGTTTTAAATGATGCGTGCCAGCAGGATAGGTGAGGTTGCCACTAAACCCAAAATTTCAGTGGCTGAAACCAACAAATGACTCCTGCATGTGTGCATCCAGGGTGGGCTGGCACCTACCGCTTTGTCCTTCTTCTGGACACAGGCTAAAGGGGCAGCCACTGTCTGTATCACTATAGCAGATGCCCTGTGGGTCTTGCAGTAGAAATGAAACCCCCCATCTTCCAACAATTCATTGGCCAGAACTTGTCACAAAACCCTGCCCAACCAGGGAATATAATCCTTCCATGTGCCCAGAAATTAAAAAGCCAGAAATAATTATTGAAAACATGACTACCATAATTTGCTCTTTTAATCACCAAAAATATGATTCATTCTCCTCCTGCAGGCAAAAGGCAAAACATGTTCACCCACTCCCCAGGGGAGATGACCAAATGCCCCAGCAGTCATGGGCTCAAGCTCCAAGTTCAGGATCTCTGGGTGATATTTTCCAGTCTCTACATCAGGCCTGGAAGCACATTAAAGACCTACACATACCCAAAACATAGCTTTTGATGCACCCCAAACACACAATTGGTGTGGATGAGTAGCTTATTTTTACAACTCTGCCCACCCTTCACTTCCCAGTGTGGGAAGGCCTCTCATGCAGTAAAATCTGAGAATAAACTGCAGAGAAGAGGTGGGTGGCTCTTCCAGGTGTTGGGGGAACTGTAGTCCTGGCAGGGAGGGGGCACCATGGTAGGGATGGAAGGGGAGTTGGAGAGTGGGAGAAAGTTAGGGGGGCCAGGGGAAAAATAGAGAAGATTAGAAAGGGAAGGGGTGAGGGATGATGTGCCAGGGCCTTCAGAAACCCCAGTGAAATGCATGTCAAGAAGGAACTAAAGGAGCAGGAGCCGCTTGGGGGCAGGAAAGTGACAGGACTAAGTACTAGGAAGGAAAAAAGTTTCTGCTTGATATTTTAGACCAAAGAGGCCAATGGCCACTTGTCGATGGTCTCCTTGGTCACTGGTGTAAATATTATTTTAATTTTAGGATGTGAACTTTGCTGATAAATGCAGAAACTCAAGAGTTCAAGGAAATAAATTCGAATGCTATGTTTTTCCAAATGTTTCCATCAGAATCTTGTCACACCTCTACATTGGAGATCTCATTTGTTTGTCTCTAAATTGAATAGGTTAAAGTATTTTAAAAATATCATTTCCATGATTTTAGGAACCATTTGAATAAAAACAATAAAACCTTCTTTTAAAAACATAAATGGCCCTGGCCGGTGTGGCTCCGCTGTTTGGGCACTGTCCCATGTCCGGAAGGTTTCCTGAAGGGCTGCAGGTTCCATTCCCAGAGAGGATCCCCAGTAGGGGGTATGCAGCAGGCAGCCAATTGATGTCTCATGCTTTCCTTCTCCCTTCCTCTCTCTCTAAAAATCAATTTAAAAATCTTTTTAAAATAAGAATACGTAAAAACATAAATGTATTTCTAATTTCCTAGAATTTTGTTTATTTTTTAATTCCCTCTTAATTTTTTTTTTTTTTTACTGGTGTCTATTCCACTTTTCCTTCCTCACAAACATGATGGTAAGCATGTGGATTTCCCCAGTGATCCCCCAAGGCCTGATTAGCATCTCAATTGCCCTCTTTAATACAAAATTCAATCAGGAGCCACTTAATGCTCCTAATTGGGTTTTTAAGTACAAAGAACACAGTGGTACAAGTTGAGCTGTGAAAGATGCACAGGGGGGACACCCAGGACCACTTTAGAAAGATCCAGGACAAGATTTTGTTGTAATTTCGGTGCCTTTCAGGGGCTACAGACCTATGCAGGACTCCCGCCTTGAGTGACCTGATTGTACATTTGTGTTCTTCAGTGTAAAAGACCCACCTCAGAGCAGTCTGAGGGAGAGTGCTGGGGACTGAATAAATAAAGCCAGGCCCTGAGGGGACCATTTCTTCCTTTAAAAGGCCAGAGACAAGGACACGGGCCTGAGCACTAAAGTGAAAGGTAGTGGCAGAGACTGGAGAGCAGAGAAGTGAAACAAGTCCCATAAATACTGAGTCAGTTCCAACTAGTTTTATGCTGTTGAATTTTTTAAATGTTTAAAATCTGAACTGGCTAAATATTCTATTTCTTTATAAATGACTGTATACTTGCTACTCTCAGATTTCTGCGTGTGTGTGTGTGTGTGTGTGTGTGTGTGATGTTTTTATGTTTTATCAATGCTATGATTTATGGTTGACAAAGCTCTTAAAAGGTACACTTAGGTAATTATCTTCATTCTATGCACTTAACCAAAATTAGGCCATTCAAGTCTTCACCAGGCCTAAGAACCTCACCTTTATAAGAGCCTAGAACAGGGAAAAATTAGTCTGGGGATCCAGGACTTCTTGCCATCTGGTTGTCTAGGGTTTTTTCTGCTCTTCCAATATTTTGTAAATCCAGCTAGCTCATCTCAGAGATTTTCTAGATGCACACCACAGTGTTGTTGCAAATACCTGTTCAACACTTATCTAGTATATCAATTTGCTTCCCACAAAGCTATCCTTAGAAGCACAGGACTCAGAAAAGAGTTCTTTAGCTTGACTATGGTCAATAACTTCTGATCATCCACACTAATGGATGAGAAGAGGAAAACACAGGTCCTTGCTTTGGATAAATATCTATGGTTTGGGATAGAATAGTCATTTAATTGTGCTCAGACCAACTAGAACCTGCCACAAATGAACACTTGTAGTACATAGATTCAGACAGCCTGGAGAGCAAATTACGTTCTTCAGACTATATCATGACACACTGTAAAAGTCTGGTATGAGCAGAGACTCTAGCATTAATCCTGCCCCTCAACTGGTTTTCCCAGCAGAAAGCAGGGGTGCGCCCAGGGTTACTCCTTCCAGAGGCACACAGATGTTGGTAGGGCGAGGCAGTTCAGGAGTCTTTGTGAGGGCAAGATTAAACCAGGTTAAGATAAAAGTATGCAACAATGTAAAGAATCTACATAGAAACAACCAAAAGTGGGCTAATTATAATAACAAATACATTTTAATAATGTAAGAAGTCTTATTAGCTTATTATTTGCATCATCCCAAATATGCCAGCTATACATGCTGTTGGGAATTGTCTACTGGCATGCATCTAAAATTACAATGCACAGTTTCTTCTGATGAAAAGGAAATCTGTTTCATTGATTAATTTCTATAATAACCTTCAAGCACAAAAGGTACTTCCTCATAAGCTTTTTAAATGATTGTGTGTTGAAGATAATTGCCATACACAGAAGCCAGAAATAACTTCTTAGTCTGGTGATAAATCAGACATAGCCATAAATGGAAATGTTTACATGTTTCAGGTGGCCGAACTCGTAACCAGCGAGTTCTTCGAACAAGGAGATCGGGAGAGATCGGAACTCAAACTCACCCCTTTTGTAAGCTCATCCTTTTATTATGATGTATCTATTCTACCCTCTTGAGTGACATTTTAAAAAAATGACTTCAAACCACATGAAAAGGGGGAAATTAAGAATAGATTTAAGGAAGCACTCCTGAAAGTTTAAAACTTTAATTAAGCTTAGATGCTAAGCACTCTTTTTCCCAGGTGTCTGATTAAGAGTGGTGAGCTACTTAACAAGAATTTCCCGAGCACCCACAGGGGACAAGCAGGCACAAGAGAGGATGTGCAGAGTGGCATTTGAATAACTCAGAGCCCAGGGCTGGTATTTCAGATGTGGTCAATGGCTACTATGGAATACAAATACAGAAAAAAGAATTAAAGGCCAGCTGTCTAGCCTTGAGAAACTAGAACAGGCAGCTGTCGTAAATAATGAGTGTTGAAGATTTTATTTTCTAATTTTGAACATTACAGAATGAAAAGTTTCACCTGGAGATTTAGGTTCTGCTGATTGAATTGCTATTTACAGCAGTTCATATCCATTCAAATATTATTTGAGAATGCTTACTGTAGGCTCAGGCTGGTGCTGGTTTTACTCATCAGGATACAAAAGATATACTAGTAAATGCCTTGATTACACCCTCAAGGAGGGGGCAGCCTCTTTTTTCTTAATGAATGGTTAGCTAAAAACCCACTGGCTCCAATAATGGTGCAACGTATTTTAATGTCTGGCACAGCACAGTTGATTCAAGGAAACTCAGGAAATCTGTGCATTGAGTTTTGAATATTTTAAGACCCCTTTCTTTACTCACATTTAAAAGCAAGGAAAAGCAGCAGAATTAGGTCCTAGCTTAAACAGTTTTACCTACTTGAAGTCAGAATAGACAGTTTTACTAATTTTAACTGTCCTTAATCTGTTACTTACCTCTGAAAGGTCAGGAGACTGCATAGCAGCAATATTCATAATAGCCAAACAGTGGAAACAACCCAAATGCCCATCAAATGATAACTGGATAAATAATAGGTGGTGCATCTACACAGTGGAATATCATTCAGCAACAAAAATGAATGAACAGCTGATGTGTGTTGCAGGAATAAACTTTGAAAACATGCTAAGTATCCCTGACTGGTTTGGCTCAGTGGATAGAGCGTCGGCCTGCAGACTGAAAGGTCCCAGGTTCAATTCCGGTCAAGGGCATGTACCTTGGTTGCGGGCACATCCCCAGTAGGGGGTGTGCAGGAGGCAGCTGATCGATGTTTCTAACTCTCTATCCCTCTCCCTCTCTATAAAAAAAAATCAATAAAATATATTTTTAAAAAATGAAAACATGCTAAGTGAAAGAGGCCAGTCACAAAAGATCACATAGTATATGTTTTCATTTATATAAAATGTGCAGAATAGGTTAAAACACCCACCAATTATTTTAGTTTTCAAAGCAACATATATGTATACTGATTTTTAAATATGCTTTTATTTTGAAAACAAATTTGGTGTCACCAAATTTGGTTATAAAAATAAAGATACTAAATTGGAATACATAGTTAATGTGTAAAACCTAATTCAACCCAAATTTCTCTCAGCCACATATCTATTTTCAAATAAAAGCTTTTCCCTTTAAAAAAAAGTCTTAGTTTTTTTTATTTTTTGCTTTCTGTTTTTATATCCTACGTGTAAGTGAAATCATACAGTTCTTGATTTTTTTCTGTCTGATTTATTTGCATAGCATGATATTCTCAAGAACCATCCACATTGTCTAAAATGGCAGTATTTCATCTTTTCTTATGGCTGAGTAGTATTCCATTGTATTTATGTACCACAGCTTCTTTTTTCCAATCATCTATCGAAGGACACTTGGGTTGTTTCCATGTCTTGGCCACCGTGAATAATGCTGCAATGAACATAGGATGACATATATCTTTATGAATAAATGTTTTCAAATTTTTCAGGTAGATACCCAGAGGAGGGATTGCTGGGTCATATAGGAACTCTATTCCTAATTTTTTAAGGAACCTCCATACTGTTTCCCATAGTGGCTGCACCAGTTTACATTCCTAAGGGGGTGGCCTGAATCTGCCCTCATGACCTATGTGAGCACCAAAATGATAGGATGGCACGTTTGATCTAGAGGAAAGACAGTAACGCGGGGCAAGGTCAGTTGTTTCTTAGACCCTGACCTTCGCCCTTAAGAACAGAGGGAGGGACGGTCTCCCTGGCATCAAATGGCAGTATTTGGTCAAGGAATGCATTTTACCCCTCCAATTCCTACTGATGGTTTCCCTTTTCAGACCTGCTACCTAGATATATGTCACTTCTTTTTCTCACAAACATAGCCAACTTTTCTAAACATTATAACACCATAAAGTTTAAAAGCTGGGGATGGGGAGAGAATGGGTACCTCCTACCATCATTCATTCAGTGATAGATTTTAAAAATTAGGAATTTATTCTTGACAGACAGAACCTTATTGAAGAACACACAGAACTGCCACATCAACACCCCACCCTGAAAAATTAATACGAATAGTTCCTATTTAAAATGAATTGGTTTTCAAGTACCTTTTCTGATCTATCCCACCCTCTTTCACGGTTAAAAATAAAAGCCTCCATCAGTTTGGTGGCAATAAAACTTGTACCCAATTCCCAGTGACCTGATGACTTGATTTAGTGGCAGTTACTTGTATCTGGAGACAGATTTTGGCCCCAAGGAGTTGCGTGCTGTAAAGTTCAAATAACTTCACTTACAAATCTCATAAAAAGAGGTGAAAATATTTTATTTCTCATCATAGATAAAAGAAAAGAAAGTACGTGTAAAGATGGATTGTGATTTGTGAAGTGTTTGGTTGGTAAAAATTGGATCATTGTGGCAAAGCAGTTGACAAAGCACCTGTAAAACTGTCTGATATAATAAAACAAGGTTCTCCTCCCCCATCCTAGGCTATTTTTGATCGGAACCGGAAGGATGAACTGCCTCGGTTGCAACTGGAGTGGATCGATAGCATCTGCATGCCTCTGTACCAGGTACTCATGATTCGGGAGGGTCTGTGTGCCCTGACTGGGCCAGAAGAGGGTATGTAGCATACTTGCAACTTTAGTTTTAGGAGCCTCTTCGGGTATGTATTTTTCTAAGAACCGTGGTTACAGTGGACCTTTTCTCAGATGTTTTGTCACGCCCTGAGAAAGTTGGCCTAGAAGCCTGAGACCTGAGGACATAATCTTCATGAACCTCAACTCCCTCATTTATAATTCAGGGATGATAATGTTTTTCTCAGTGTTTCTCAAACTGTGCCCCATGGAACATAGTATGTAGCCATAGCCTAATAGATACCTCTTCAAAGAGGGCTCTCAGGCCCAATAACTAGGAATCTCCCTTGCACATTGAAATACTGAAGCCTGGGAGAAGTCCTTCAGGAAAGAAACATGTTTAACCTTGATTAACTCTAACTTTCTCAAACATTTGGCTGTGAAAATCTTTTTTCTTTTTTTTTTTTTTTTTACAATTTTTCTTTTACCTTCATGAATATCATGAGGGTTCCATGAATCACAGTTTTCTGCTCTGACCCCATGGTCTGGGCCATGGAGTTTTGTAAATCCCCTTCCATCCTAACATCCCTGTCTCCGAGATGCATATGACAAACGCAGACCACTGAATGCTGAGCAAGATGTGCTAACGGCTTCTGGCTCTGGTGTTCGGGACCTGCTCCTGGCAAGGAGACACGTGCCATGGGCTGTGAATGTTCACCCTCCACTTTCTGAGTATGGATTAGGGCTGGCATCAGTTAACATTAACGGTTTGGTGTACATTGACTTTTAATTCCACTTCTAAGCATTTGCTTTCATGTGTAAAATCTGGCAAATTCTTTACCCCCCACCTAGCTCAATCAGACTGAACTTCTTTTCTAACTTCAAATGAGAAACACATGCAGGGAAAGCAAAACTGCTTTACTTTCTCACTCTGTGTAACTCCATTAAAGGCACAGTATTGTTTTTTAAGGACCTCACAATCATTAAGTTTCAGGCTTATCTACTACTTGGTTTTAGCACTTTTAGGAACTGTTGAGTCCTGTCACATTAACCTAAACACACACACACACACACACACACACACACACACACACACAGAATACTGTCTTGAAAATGGAAATGCAATTTTTTAATGATTATAAATAACAAAAGTAGATTCATTTTTTGTTTTATGTTATCTATTCAATATATAATCATATAAAGTCAAAGTTTAAAATAATCTAAAGTAGATTAATTATAATTGGAATATAGTTTTATTTAATAATGAAAGATTGGATGAAAAATCAAAAATGATGTACCCTTAATTATAAGAGGATCCTCAACTCTCTTTTCTTTCTGTCCTCTCCTCTCATCCTTGATCCTGGTATCTCTGAGTAAGCTGTGCAGCTGTTGGGTCAGGAAGATCTTCCTTTGCTAAACTGACCTTGACAGTGCATGTTAAGTTATTTGTTTATGATATTCAGTTTTTTTGTGCACACTTAAGTAATAAATGGCATGAATAAATTATTCTTGCAATTAATAGATTCCTTTTATGTAGGTAAAGCTTAGGAGGATGAAAACATGTATTTGTGGAGCTGATAAATTGTTGGTACTGGTTTGCAAAGCTACTTTGGAATGAACCCAAAGTAAATACCCCTTCCCATGTGATTGGTTATAGTAAATGCTGGAAAGAACTCTCATATGCTTTTCCATGTTAATTTAATTGTTTAATTACTGATTCACAATCATCTGAGCTTATTTTATACTCCCTATTGAACACTTTGAAATCTTTAGGTTAATAAGAAAGTTTAAACTGAAAATAACAATTTCCAGAATTTAGAGAGCAATATTACCACATCACATTGTTTATTATTCCTGACTTTTCACATCTGTTTTACTTTGCCACTTATCCATAAGGTTAGATACCTGCTATTTTTATCCTCAGGTAAATTAACGTATAGAAATGTTAGTGGCACTACCACCAAATTAGAGTTGTCTCTTGCTCACCCCCACTCTTAGTTTTGGTATGATGGCCTCTCTACCTCTGCTAGATAGTTCTCCTATTATCTTTTCTTATTAAACTAAATGGAAAGAGCCATGGCATTCTACAGAGGTGTGTAAAAGGAGCTGTGTATTTTAGCCCTGGCAAATGTGGCTCAGTTGGTTGGGTGTCGTCCCATGTACCAAAAGGTTGATGGTTCAATTCCCAGTCAGGGTTCCATCCCCAATAGGTGGCGTGCACAAGGCAGCCAATCAATATTCCAATCTCACATCAATGTTTCTCTTTTTCCCTCTCTCTTCCTCTTTCTCTAAAGATCAATAAAAAATATATTTTTAAAAAGAAATTTATTTTACACCTGTTGCTGTATCTTCTCAGTTAACAAAGCATGAAAACCATGTTCTTTTTAAAATTCCTTATCATGGCTAATTTTAAAAAGGATCTCATGGGTTTCACTTGTAAATTTTTCACAAGGTTTAAAACCAACATTTCAAAGAGCCCACAAACTGGAACTTTGTCGAGTGATTTTAACTATCCTCTTTGAGGGTCCCTATTTTGTTCCATCTCACACAATGTATTTTTCATCATTGAACTAGATAATCCTACTTAACGGTGGGCACTTCAGCACTGCAATGGAATCCTCAGTGGAAAGAAATCACCATTAGTGTGAAGACATCAAATCTTTTGGAAGCGACTCACCAAGCAGGGGAGTCACTGATGTGACACTAATTGCTGAGGCAAAATGTCTGCAGGAGCTCGGGTTGTCCTTTGGGATTTTGAACATCAAAGTGCAACAATACATAGTCCGAGAGGATAGAAGGCAAATGAAAAAGTATGCAGGTGGCAGAGATCCCAAAGCTGAAATGATATGGTCTGAATTACAGAGCATGAGAATTCACTGTGGCCTTGCTAAGTCAGCATGGCAGAGGGCAAAGGGATAGAGAATCATGTATACCACACAAAGACTGTCCCTTTCATTTATTTTAATGGCCAGGGCCCCGACCCCAAGATGGGGTCGGTTCTGGTGACAAGAAAGCTCATAGCGCCGGAGGATGTTGCATGGAGGACTGGGTCCCCTGGCAGGTGGAGCAGAGTGGAGAGGTGCAGTCTGGCAGGGCCCTCCACGCTGGGTGTCCCCCTCAGACCAAACCGAGTTTGGTGAGGGAGGCAGAGATACTAACGTGGTTTTAATACAGCTTTTGACTTCATTGCTTTCACTGGATCATTCCGTTTTACTTCATGGTTCTGAAAGGGCTGTGCATGTCAAATAGCAAAATAGATCACACCCTCTCTGCTGGCGCTCCAGTTTGCGGAGTTTGGTCTCTCCTCCAAGCAAAGGGTCAAGATAATGGCCAGTCTCGGGTGCCTGAAGAGCTACTTATTTGTGTGCCCGGATGGGAACTCACAGAAACTACACCGGTTCATTTTGGGTGTCCATTGCTTCTAAAACTGAAACCCTTATCTCTGTGACTATGCTGAGATAAAACAAGGAGAACCCTTTCTTCCTCCGCCTTCCACCTGTCTGCTCAGCAGGAAATTACTTCTGTACTCTAGTGATTGATTGAAAGTGACTGACAGAAAATGCATAAAAATATAGAAATAAAGGGAAGGCAACTTCAGAGAAGTTATATAATAGGGAGAGGTGCCATGTTTATAGATGAATATATAATTCTCCAGAACTTGCTCATCTTTTTAATCTTGTAGTTCCAAACTTTTCTTAAAAAAAGAAAATGGTCCTAACAGGCAGAAGTCATGATTTATCTGTGACAGCATTTTAATCAGGAAGCATATAGGGAGCCCAGAGTGGGCAGGGAACCAGCAAAGCGTGTTGGTGGGGAGGACCGAAGCCCCGGTTAGCTGGCTCTGTCCTAGCAGGGTGTCTGGGAGGAACACATTGACATCTGATTCCCCTGCTTTCTGCTGTCTCTGCACCCCGCTGGGGATCCATTAGCCTGCTGCTCAAAGTCTTTTCGAGAGGGGGAAAATACAAAGAAAAAAAAAAGAATAAAAAAAAGACACCATCAAACTTTGAAGCCATTGCTGCGCCAGCCTTAGGGATAAACAGAACGTTGATGTCCCAGCCTCACACTGAGTTGTCTGTGCAGTAGCAGGCTACGTTTTTGCCCTTTATTTTCACTCTCGACTTAATCAAACCTCAGTGCACCTAGAATTTCAATGATGCACAGAGGCATTTTAAATCTTCTGTTTGTTAAGGATTGAGGGACTTAATCAGATGAACATCATCAGATTTTCAGCTCATCCCAAACTGGTCTTCATATTGGAGTAGATTTCCCCCCACAGATCATGCAAAAGGGCTTGACCTGGACAGCATCTAGCCAGAGTAGTATTTCTCTCTCGCCTTCTCCCCTTTTCTCCCTTCACCCTCTCCATTAAAAGAAGGAAAAGTTTGGCAAGACTATTGTATCTTTATAAAAATGTCATGGGGCTCCTGCAACAGACAGTGGAAAGTTGGAAAATTCTTTTTTCCTTATTGGATGGAACGGCCCTTATCTGGTTTCCTCTGTCTCTCCATTGAGAGCTTTGTAATAAAACTGGATGACCTGACTTAACCAGGCTTGGTTCTCAACAGGGACGGGAGAGTTCTGGGATTTAGAAAGCCCCTTTCTCACCACACCAAGCTGCAGCTGAGGGTTATTCTCTCTCAGAGCTGAATGAGGAAGGCTTCGTTTAGATCCCCTGTCTCTTGGCCTCATCTCCTATCACCCTCCCCACTTCCTTTGCCCCACAAAGATCATCACAGTACAGAGTGCCATGTGTGAGTATTCCTGTGTCCAGCACAGTGCCCACCCAGCATATTCTACTTGCTCAGTAAATGTTTATTGAACAAATGAATGAAGAAAAAAAGGAGTGATAGGATGCAATACTACAGATTTAATTATAAGCAGTGGAATGAATGTATAAAGTTGGGTTATGATGTCACTTTAAATTATCATCTATAAATATATAAAACCTATCATTGAGTATGTGCTGTTATATTCCTACCCATAACCAGAAGTAT